CAACTGTCTCCACGCTACAACGAGATATGTTTGACGTTCACATTTTTAAATATTTGACGTTTGCTTATGTATGATTTTGTAAATTCAGTTTAGGACATTGAAATACAGACAGATAAAAGGAAAGTTTGGAAAATGTAACGAATGGTACCAGATTCCGAAGAACAACATTTTAAAAAGTTGTTGCGGAAATAAACTTTGTTCTTCATAAGAGGGAAATGGAAATCCAATCGTGGGCCTTTGACATATCATGAAGGCCTAGCTCGCAAATCTGACTGCCAATGCATCTCTTTAGTCGAATTGAGTTCTAGAGAGTTTGGCGCAATGTTATCGAAGCAGAACCATTACCGAATTTTATAAATTCTATGTCTCAGCGCTTAAAAGATTTATAGAAAGCGAAGAAGACTCTGCAAAATATTAGCTCTCTTCCAGTCCTCCACAAACTTATAGAATTTTACACGAACTTGCAGGAAGTTACAGGAACAATGATACCGTACTCCAAAATCCTGTAAATGGGAGCGATTTTTGGAGAGTTGAGTAGAAAATGAAGTTGCAAGATTTTAACCGAACATCTTTCTTCTGGCAAAATCATGAAAAGTGTCAAGCGGTCGGCTATATGACGTCTTTACAGGAAAAATGCTTTATTTTTGCTGCTGTCATGTTTAAAATTCTAACGAACGAGTTGTAATCGGACGCACATAGAGGTATTTAGACGATTTATGCGGCCAAAATTATTTTATGAATAATTTCAACTCGAAATGTTTATAAAAGACGTGTTTTGACATTTAGAATTGTAACTATTTAAAATCAAGTAAATATAGGTTAAGACATTAACAGAGTTGCCATCTGTTAAAAAATTTTGTTCTTTTAGTTAAATGAATTGCTGCAATCTGGGTATCAATGGAAATGGGCTTGAAAAGGCTTTATCTCTAAGGAACCTCCGAGGGTTTAAAAAATCAAATTCAACTTTAATTAAAGGAATTAAATAATTCAAATATGTATCACAGTATAGGTAAGAAATGGGTGTATTCGAGGTGCAATTAATGCGGCAGTGATACTCTTTTATGAAAGAGTATCACGTTCTACGCGAAAGTTACTCATCATTGGCAAATCAGAAACAACATAAAAATTCTACTGTGCAGTTTCTGCAACATTTAGAAAAGTTTCAGGTACACATCAGCAACATGTCATCAGGAAAGCAACAAGTCTGCAATATTTCGGTAATTATTACGTAGCTCGAACGCACCCAATGTAACAAAATTACATTTTACATTACATAGTTTAGTAGTCTTATTTATTTTTAAGAGAATTTTGTAAGTATTAACTTGGAGTAAATTAGCGTCGTCAATTACTGAAATATCGGAGTTTTCGTATTTTCAACGCATTGCTTTTCCATACCAAGGTTAAAAATCCACCGAGTTTGGTACAAATTGATAAATCGGTTACCGAGATACGCATTTGTGGTCAAAAGTGCGCGGCGTCACGCCCATTATCCAAAAAATTATAATAATTTTATTTAATGTTAAGAGGTTATTCCAAGAATCGATTTTGAGTTAATTAGCTTCAGTAGTTATTGATTTTTCGCAGTTTTCGCGTTTCTGTAAGTTACCGTTATATGGGAAGTGGGCGTGGTTATCGCCCGATTTCAAGAATTTTTAACAGTTATGTTAGATATAGCCTAAGCAAGGCTCATACCGAGTTTGGCACGGACTAGTGAAGCGGATACTGAGATACAGCATTTCATCATAAGTGGGCGGGGCCACACCCATTTTCTAAAAATTTAATAATTATCCCTTTTTCCAAAATTTTACTTTACATACTAATGTTTAACAATTCGGATGCAATATTTACTGAAATATCATAGATTTATCTAAATTGACATTTATCTAAATTTATACGCTTGTATACCTAAAACTATTTCTTTAATCATCACTTATATAACACCAATGTAAAGGAAAACAAATGTTTATTCCGAAATATATATCATAGTTGGGTTCGATCTCTATTCCCTCAGATTTCTAGCAACAGGACCGAAAGGTCCTAGAAAACATGACTTTTACTAATATCTCGAAAACTATTTATTTTTAAATTAAATGGATCCAATATTCTAGTTCAGCGGCCTCAAATTCATCTAAAAAGTTTAATTTTAGTGCTAAAGTAGTGTTACTATTTACTAGTTGCGTTTTTAGATATTTCCTTAATACATTCTAATTTGCAAATAAAAATTCTTTTTTTATTTTGCCAGATTATAAAAAGGCAATAATATGACCATCGAAAAAGAAAATAAAGTTAAAAATGACAACGTCTTGATTATAAAAAGGCAATAAGATGACCATCGAAAAAGAAAATAAACCTAAGAATGGCGGCGTCTTGCGCTTATTTGCAAATAGTACCACTAATCAATACTTATTTGCGTGATTTAGTTATTTGCAAATAAAAAATTAACTCATCGTTTATACGGCAAATTTTACCAATTTTGCAAATTGTTATTTGCAAATAATACGTGCGTATAAACGTAGTATATGTTAAGAAATACCACTTGTCTGCCATTTTCTGTGGGCAGTCTTTTCACACTATATTAGCCAAATTTCCAAGCTTTCAATTGAATAAAGAATAATAACGCGATCTCTCCCGGGGATACAACAAATTCCATAATATTCACAAAAATTAATAAAAAAATACTCGTTGAAAACCGCTATGTTCGTTACATTTGAATTGAAATTTTGCTTAATAAAACGATTAAAAAAATGTACCCTTAAATGTTACCTTCTGTATGCGAATTCATCACTACTTTTTAAGAATACAATGCAGAAATCAAAATATTAACTTAAAACCGTCACGATCTTTCTAGAGAGCGAAAATTTATTTATAAGCAGCGTTAGAATATTCTTCTTCCGTTCGCTGTGCAAGTTAGAAAAGGGAGGGGGACTGGGAAATGTTATTTGGAATGTTCTCTATCGAAAGCGACTAAGTTTTTAAGTTTTCTCCAAAATTTTGTCAAATTGGTTTTTGGCCGCCTAAATCGTTCAAATATCCCTATGTGGGACGTTTGAATTGTTCGGACGTAGCGCAAGTCGTGTAGTAATTCGATACGAACTAAATACAGTTTTACCTAAAACTTTCAATAAAAACCCATTTCACGATCTAGCCATCCTAACTAAGGGCCGGTTGTTCAATGTCTGATTTGCACAAATCGGATGTAGAAACTCCGGTTCACTACAACGACTGCTTTATCGATCACATGTTATAAGCATGGTGACGAAAACGTCGATAATGATGTTTAACCGGCAAGTAGTGATAACCAGACATTGAACAACCGGCCCTAAATTGTTTGTCTTAGGGCCGGTTACTCAATGTCTGGTTAACACTAACCTGCGGTTAAACATCGTTATCGACGTCTTCGACTCCACGCATATAACAGGGAGTCGGTAACGTCGATAACGATGTTTATCTGCAGATTAGTGATAACCAGATATTGAGTAACCGGCCCTAAATATTGAATGCGAAAGAAAACCGAAGCTTTTGACAATTTTCAGTAACTGGTATTGAATCATACCGCTCGTGATATTCGTGTCGTTAATAATCTTTTGTATGAAAAAAAACGTTGCCTAGAGTTCGCAAAATGGTTAAATATAATTCCTTAGTAGCCGCCAATGAATATTGATGCATTGGCTGCGCATGCAGATCTGCGACCCATACGACAAGTTCCTTTCTCCGACGAAATCAACGAACTTCAACGAATTGTAAACTATCCATTTGCGAAAACAACTATACCAATTAAAATTGCAGCTGTCACATGCGTTATGAGACAAAACGAATAACGAAACGAATATGCAGCGCATTATCCAGTATACACCCAAAATGTATTCAACAAAGTGTGATTGATTTTGACATTGCTCTCATAAGAAACAGGCTATAATGTCAAATTAAAATGAATTGTTAACCCATTTGAAAATATTTTTTTTTTCAAATTTGTCAAGCAACAATTTTTCTTAATAAACGTGAAATTGTTAAGAGATAAACCGCCGAGGAGAGCAAGTAAGCACATTTAAAGTTTGGTAATAAGTAAATATGTACGTTCGGATTTTCTTAAATATTTAATGTGTAATTTCTAGGTGGTCTTTCAAATAAAAATAAACGAAAAGCAACAATTGAGTTTTCTTTTTTCAATTTTATTGCAAGCGCAGTTATACAAAATCACAATTTTCAATTTCTTTTTAGCGAGCCGGATTAGTACAACCGTACTGTTTCAATAGCAATCAACAATTGAATTCCAACAACTTCAGCAACACAACGAAAGGTTTTTTTTCAGCCTACGCATACATGCATACATATGTACATATGCATGTACAAACGCGGCCATCGAATAAGCAATTGGAGAATTTCTCCTTTTATTCAAAGGCAAACAGTTATTCAAAGGCAAATAGTTAACGAAGCATTTGCCTTCTTTTCCTTCTTTTGTTGTTTCGCAAAAATTAAGTATACATATGTATATGGTTGCCATCAGCAAAGATGAAAATATAGTTATCACAAGAATGTAGGAGGTTGCCAGTAGACCAGTAAATACACTGCGACAAATAATATTCTTTACAGCTCGGCCAATCTGACAAAATGATCGACCTCGATCATACTAACTAATAATATTCTTAAAACTAAATGATTGTTATATTTCTAGGGTAAATAATTAAGTTAATCATAATTCAATAAACTGGATATATTGCTCTTTGTTATTCATTCGTTACAACATTTTCAAGCTGATCATTCCTCCTCCAAAGTCGTATAAATCGCGACTCAATAATGCCGTTATATGGCAGTTGCGTAACCTGACAATTTTCAATGTCTCTAATAGCATATCTATCATTTGGAAGTTTTTTAGCTATAATGTACGGACCCTTGAACTTCGGTATAAGTTTTTTGTTAACACCAACTGTACTATCAACATTCTTTATCATGACGTATTCACCGACTTCAAAATCTCTAGCAGGCCTGTTATTTCTCAAAAATTACTCCTCGTTGCGCCGCTGGGATGCCAGTATAGCCTCATTCGCTTCCTGCCTACAATTAGTTAGATCACATTGCTCAATATCTTGTTGGTCACATAAAAATTCAGTAAATTCATCAACATTGGGTCCCTTTTGGGTGGTCCCAAAAAGTAAATTAGCGGGAGATTTACCGGTTGAGCTGTGTACCGTGTTATTAATGGCAAATTCAATCGTACTTAGCTTTGAAACCCAATCGGCATGTTGAATTGGCTCACTTAGTTTACTAAGCATAGGAGTCAAAACTCTGTTTACTCTTTCAACCTGACCGTTTGCTTGTGGTGACCCAGTGGCAACTTTAACATGATCTATATTATTTTTAACTAGAAATTCAGTAAACTCAAGTGATGTAAAACAGGTTCCCCTATCCGATATTATCCTAGATGGTCGACTATAATATTGAAAATATTTCTTTAAAGACTCGACGACCTCTTTAGTACTAGTTGAGTTAACTGGGTACAGTTTTACATACTTGGTGAAAGCATCAATTATCACTAGCAAAAATTTTCGTTTTGACTTTAAAGCAGGAAGAGGTCCTAGGTGGTCGATATGAATAGTATCGAAAGGTATTGGCTTCTTGGGAATACTATGAATATTCCTTTCGTTGACTCGAGCAGGTGCTGAACATACAATGCATTTTAAACAATTCTTTATAAATTTATCAATTTTGGACCTCATTTCCGGAAACCAATAGTGTAGTTTTATTTGATTAAAAGTTTTATCTACCCCAAAATGAACAATCTTCGCATGTCAACGAATAATATTATCCTCCATCTCTCGGGGAACATAAAAATATAGCTGACCTCTCATATCTTTTCTATAAACTAGCCCGTTTTTGAGGTCGAAGAGTTTCGATGGCTCTTTTTCCAATCTATCCCGTATTTTAACTATATCAGGGTCTCGACTTTGAGTTGCCTGCAACTGAAACTCTAAATCGTCTTCGTTAACAGCAAAAACTACCTCACTGCGACTGAGAGCGTCAACGTGACCCATGTTAGCCCCACCTCTATGTTGCACAGAATAATCATAGTTCTGTAATTCCAGCGCCCATCTCGCAATACGTAGGTTAATCGTCTTTTTGCTTAAAGTAAGCGTAAGTGAATTACAATCCGTGATAATCTTAAAAGGGATTCCCTCAAGATAAACTCTAAAACGTCGCAAAGCGTAAATGATAGCTAACGTTTCTAGTTCAAAACTGTGATATTTGCTCTCAGTATTGGTGGTTCGCTGTGAGAAGTAAAAAATTGGATGAAACTTTCCGTCTGATTGACGCTGTAACAAAATAGCACCATAACCCTGAGCACTTGCGTCGCAATGCAATTCGGTCTCATTTTTGGGATTATATATTGACAAAACTGGAGGATCGATGAGCCTCGCTTTTAATTCAGCAATCGCATTCAAACAGGCTTTGTCAAGCTCAAATTTAGAATTTTTCTTCAACAAATCATACAATGGTTTAGCAATTTTTGAAAACTGTGGAACAAATTTCCTAAAATAGGAACATAGGCCAATAAATGAATGCAATTGTTTTAAAGTTTTCGGTAATGGAAATTTCGCGACAGTTTGCTTGTGTTCCTGACTTGGATTAATACCCTCATAACTAACATCATAACCTAAGTACTGAATGCTGCTATGGCAAAATTTACATTTTGACAATTTAAGTTCAAGACCATGTTTGGCTATCTGCTTCAGTACCGATTCCAATAAAGCTAAATGTTCATCTAAACCCACTGTGGCTAGCAATATGTCATCCATATAAACTATTAGGAGGCCTTTTGAAATGAAATCTTTTAAAATAAAAGAAATAAATCTTTGAAATACGGAAGGGGCGTTTTTAAGACCGAAAGGCATCATTACATATTCAAACTGGCCACTTGGTGTAACTAATGCTGTATATTTTATTGATTCCTCAGTTACTTTTACTTGGTGAAACCCACTTTTTAAGTCTAATAATGTGAAATATTTTTTTCCACCTAAATACTCCAGACAATCTTCGATGAGAGGAAGAGGATAATTATCTCTAACAGTTATTTTATTCAGATCCCTGTAGTCAATACACATACGAGTTTCACCACTTTTCTTTTTAACTAACACTATTGGTGACGCATATGGGGAATCACTATGGCGAATAATACCTTTATCTAAAAGCTCTTGCACGATCTTCTGAACTTCAAATTTATCTTTATAAGAAAGTCTTCGAGGATGTGAATAAACTGGTTGTTCAGAAGTCAACTTAATGGACATTTCATAGGGTTTTACGCTTGACTCCTTTGGATATTCTAAATAACAATTACGAATAATACGATTTATTTTTAAGCGTGCGTCACTATGCAAAGCGGAATCAATATTATAATCACTAGCACTGCTATTACAAACGGCTTCCACATCAATCGCGCATGTAATATTCCCTTCAATAAAGGAAAAACAATCTTCTTTCCATTCATCACTAGAAATTTCACTATGCAATTCTTCAACAATACTGGCCCCAACGGCGCAATGAGCATTCTTTGAAAGAGAGTCCCCTAGCAATCTATCTGCGGGAATGCCTCCACAGTTATTGGCATCAACAATAGGAGTTATGGAATGATCAACAGGACAATCAATATAACAATGTTGCAAATTATCTGGAACCTGAACAATATTTTCAATTAAAGACACACTTGAATTCAACTCATTTAATTCCAACTTGAGCTCGTTACAATTTAACATATAAAGTTTAATATTAAATAATTTGAAAAAATCTCTTCCGAGAAGCAAAGGCTGAGATAATATGCCATCCGAAACAATAAATAATGAAATTATTTTAGATTTGCCATTGAGCAAAATCTCACAATCAATTTTTCCAAAAGTTTTCAGTTTATTGCCACCTAGGCTGTAAAAATTGGATACAATCAATTCATCGGCACTTGTATCAAAAGGCAAAAGCGTCTTGCTTATAAAACTGGCAGGACTACCACTGTCAATCAAAGAAATACACTTCGTAAACTTTTTATTGTTCATGTTCCGATTACAAAAAGCAATACTTACAGTTTGGTAGGGTTCAACATTCGACATAATATCCTCATGGGTTGCTTCCTCATCTACAGCGTTTACGGTTTTCTTTGGTGGATGCTTGCATTGATTAAGCATGTGATCTTTGCTGCCGCATCGGAAGCAGGAGCCTTTGATACGCTTTGGTTCTGTGCACTGATGTGAGAGGTGTCCATATTGCGAGCAGTTGAAGCACCTTGTGGACGAGACTGTCTTACTGCCACCTTCTGAAGCCTGCACTTTTCGTGTTGTGTTGTCATTTGTTTTCTTTTTGTCATATTTAAGAAGAAGCTGCTGGAGCTCATCCAAGTTGTTAGCTGTGTACAATATTGAAGTATAAGCGGTGTTGTCACGCAGACCCTCAATCACTGCATTGATTATATCATCTTCGTTTAAATTTGCCTGTGCTGCGATCTCCTTTATCGACAGCATATATGCAATAATACTTTACAAATACAAATTTATGGCATGCCAATGGGTAACCCATTATCCCCTACCATAGCGGACATCGTACTTGACAAAATATTGGACGACAGCATAGCTGAACTTAAACAACACGACATACATATAAAATACATAAATAAATATGTAGACGATATGTTTGCAATAATTAAAGCAAAAGACGCGGAAGACATACTAAAAATATTAAATGCACAACATACAAAAATACAATTTACAGTCGAAAGGGAAAAAAACAAGAAAATTGCCTTCCTAGATGTAGAAGTGCATAAAAAGGGAAACCGAATTCTGCTGAACTGGTATGCAAAATCCATTGCATCGGGGAGATTGATAAATTTTCATTCCAATCACCCATGGAAACAAAAAATAAACACCGCTGCCAGTCTTATTACAAAAGTCCATCTGCTCAGCGACGAAGAATTTACAGAGCAAAACAACAAGAAAATAAAAAACATATTGTACAAAAACAGCTACCCGCACGCGTTAATAGAAAGATTATTACAAACAACAATAAACCAAATTCACCAACCGAGCCAAAACACCGAAGTACAGCCAAACAACACTAACAAAAAATACATTGGGGTGACATACATACCAGGACTTACAAATAACCAAGTACTCCGAAAAACAATAAAAAAATGAGAATGTGATATATGCACACAAGCCCCATAACACAATCAACAAATTGTTGACGAAAACCAAAGACAAGATTGAAAAGGAGCAACAACACAATGTAGTGTACCAAATAAAGTGCAAGGGCAATGATAACGAAAGCTGCAATAAATGCTACGTAGGCACAACAAAAAGAGCGTTGGGTATAAGAATCAATGAACACAGAGCGGACGCGAGAAACAAAAAGATGACAACAGCACTGGCTCAACACTTAAAAACGCACGAACATATAGCGAACTTCGGCAACACAGAAATTTTGGACATCGAAAGAGGAGAAAGAAGGAGAATGACACTGGAGAGCCTACGAATACAACAACAATTGGACAACGGAATCAACTTTAAGGAAGACGTCGACAACACGAAGAACACATATGCAGCCGTACTAAAATTAAAATATAAATAAGAACACTTCAATAATTCTTCCTAAATGTTGTACTACCGTCAATGTGTGCAAATTAATGTAAAATTCTTGTCAATATTTAGTGTGAGTTTCAAGTGATATTATGTGTGTAGATAATTAGTGTTAAGTATACATGTACATATGTAACTATTGTTGTGTATATATGTATGTATGTATGCAACTATTATTATGTTTTTGTTAATCATGGTTTTCGTTCGTTCTTCATGTTTATTGTTTATCGTTTAAATAAAACAGACTCACTGAAGATGACATGAGAGTGTCGAAACGCGTAGGAGGGACAAGGGAAAAATATAAGCATTTCGCCTTTTGCTCCATCGGCCGAAGCAGCTCCAACCTAGCAAACAATATTTTAATGTATGTTTTAGGAAAAGAAGTTAGCAATCAGTCGTTCTTGAACACGCTTTGCCGCTAAGATGGTGCATTTGTATTGACAGGATAATTATCTGTTGAGGTTGCTGGAATGACACTGTCGAGCTCAGATGTTTGCACACCCAAACGCATGTTGTGCAACACTGTGCACGCGTTAACAACTTTACCAGCAAATTTGGGATCGTAAAAGAGCACTCTTTGTTGCGATAAACATCGCCATGTTCCTTTAAGGACGCCAAAAAGTCTCTCAACTGGATTGCGAGCCTTGCAGAGCGCCTCATTATACCGAAATTTAGGTGTCGCCTCTGGTTGGTTTGGTAATGGCGTCATAAGCCACGGCTCCAATGGGTTTCCAGAATCACCTGCAGATATTTTTTGTAATATTGCATTATAAGATAAATTAAAATCAATTTACCGATCAAAAACATGTGATTGCCATTTTCAAAAGATCGCCGCATTACTCTTCTTATTGCACACGAGCTCCAAATGTATGAGTCGTGCCGAGCCCCCGGAAACCTGGCATTCACGTTCAAAATTTTCAAATTGGGATCACATATCTATAGCGAATATAGCAATAAAAAATATAACCAAATATATATTTTTAATTGATAAAACTGCTCTTACCATTTGCACGTTTATTGAGTGGTAGCCATGATGGTTGACGTAAGCCTCCTCATGATGTTTGGGGCCTAAAATCGGCACATGGGTGCAACTGATTGCCCCTATGGTGCCCCCAACAAATGGAGAAGGTGCACGTGCAAATATTTCTTTGGCGGCTTGGCGCTCAATCTGGGTCATTGGAAATTTAATTCTAGTAAAAAACAAATTACCGTTGATCGCATCTGTCACCCGGTGTATGCAACGGCTTATTGAGGACTGGCTCATGGAAATGCCCCACTGCTCTCCTACAGGGCGTTGGTAATAACCAGTTGCGTAAAAGCGTAAAGCAGACAGAACCTACCAAAATGAAAAGTAGTTTACTAAGGGCCGGTTACTCAATGTCTGGTTAACACTGATCTGCGGTTAAACATCCTTATCGACGTCTTCGACTCCATGCATACAACAGGGCGTCGTTAACGTCGATAACTATGTTTAACCGGAGATTGGTGTTAACCAGACATTGAGTAACCGGCCCTAAGTATATTATGTTGCAAACATCCTAAATATTGACTTACCTGTTTTTCACTAGGTTTAGCAGTTATCCTGGATCCTTTTAATTTGTTATCCAGCTGCACAACTACGTCATTGGCCACGTCGGGACTTAGCCGGAAAGGTTTCCGGTACTCCGAAGGTGCCAATTCGAAGGGATTGTCGACATCTCGGAGTGCACGTCGATCTGCTGGGTGTGCAGTTAACTCCGGTCCGTCCCGGAAAATATCATACACCAAATATTCAAGGGCCATGTCTTATTTTTTCCTATCAACACACTAGAATTTTTGTTTGCTATTTTATTTCCTTTTTTCTTAACCACACAAAATTTTATCAAGACAACTTCGAATCTTTAACGACAACAGCTGATTTTGCGATAGCGAATATTTTTGTGAAAAGGGTTACCGAATATCAAGAACGTTAAAAATATCGTTAAGCTGATATAGAGGAGCTAATATCGTTAAATCAGGTTAGTGAATCGCACTACAGGTATGGCTGCAAGGGGTAACCAGAATCACCTACAAATATTTTCATTGTCAGCAATGGTTTCATAGCCTTTTTAAGTTGTAAAACCTACCGAGTAGCCATGTGTTGGTTTTCCCATTGTTATGATCAGATTTTAGCTCCTGTTCTACGCGACTCACACTCCAAACAAATGAGTCATGATTCGCCCATATATGCCTAGCGTCAACAAATGTAATGACCATGTTGTGATCGCATATCTCTAAGGAAACTCAGTTTGTGTATATGCATACTTGTAAAGAAAGTAAATCATTAACCTACCGCCATTACTTTAAGACTGTAAAAACCCTTGCGGTTGAGGTATAGATAGATGGTGGTTGTCTCTTCCTGGCGACTTAATACGAACTTGTGTTCCATCAACATATTGGTATTCCGTACTTCTCAAAGAAATATAAGTGCGATTCATAAAACGTCGCAAAGTGGAATTTTTGACGAAATGCAATGTTGCGAACAAAGTTGTATGAACGACCTTTCGCGACTCTGGATCGCAAATGTAAAATTGAAAAAGTGCCGCACATCAGAGAAAAAGAAAAGTTTTTACAATTATATTTCGAAGGAGCCCTAATTGATATACTTTTTCTTGAAGTATTTGAAGACAATAAAAAAACATGTGTTTCACAACTTTGACTTTGCAATGATTGCCAGCTCAAATACTATGGCAAAGTCGCAATTTTGTCGCAAGACAAACAAAACTAATCAGCCGTATCGCAAGGGGGCAAATTTTGCGACAAATGCGACATTCGCAAGAGCCTTGCGACGTTTCATGCATCCCACTACTCTTTAACAGCATTTTTCTCCTCGATGTTTCTGCTAAAATTCACCCATTTGTGGCAAAGGTGGTTCTCAAAAATATTTAGGCATTCCCTGATCACGTTGGCTGCAGTTGACTGCCCCATCGACGAAATATTTTCGTCACCAACAGATTTTTGGTAACTGCCGGTGGCCGGAAATCTTAAAAAGTCGCGTGTTTCAGCTGGTCCGATAGGTGGGTGCTTTTGTGTGGTGGAGCCATGTGCACTTTTCATTCGTTTAATATGTATTGGAATTTTTCCTTATTGATTCGGAAATTTGTAACAAATCTAAAAGAGAATACATTGTAGCATACAGAAATTATTTGCTAATCTTGAACTTAGTCTACAGTAGTTCCATTACATTGGTGTGGTCTCGCAATCTCCTCCTCTGTATCCGCTTTTCCGTTTCTTTAGATTCCTCGGCGTCCATTAGCGCTATAGCAGCAAATATTTTTAAACATTAAATTTCTTTATATTATTTCCGCAACACAACCAAAACACTTTTAAGCAAAACCAAAATGTAAACAATTCCGATGGGGTCCATTTAAAATAAGAAGCATTGAAATAAGCTGAAAATATTATAAATCTAAGAAAATATCTTTGAAAGTACATACAAACTTCATTCGGCGACGTGACGATATCGCCTATAGACGAATCGTTCGTGTGGCCTATCGTTCGAGATACATAATAAGGCTGTAAGTTTTGTCTGATAGTAGGAGCGTTCCTTCCTTCCCAGAAATAGTCAGAAAAAGTCCGAAGTAGTCAGATTTAGTCCAAAAAGCGTTCCTTAAAAGCTGAAGCACAACACCGGCGAACGGCAAATTTTTCGTCGCGAATGTTCGCCGAAATAATTAAACCACACTGATTTATATGAGAACGCGCACAATCAAAGCAAACGACGAAGTTTGCTCGACGACTGTTCGCGACGATAGATTTATTTCTATCACCGCGGTCAACGGCAACGACAAAAAAGGCCATGATGACCATACTTTAAAAGCTATCGTAATTTTTGTTTAAAAGTAAAATAATATACCTTATATTTTTCTATCAGAGATTAATCTAGTAAAACGTAAGTTTACTAGTAGTTATATTTAAAGACTATTTCTATATTTTAAACTTCTTCTTGCTGGTATTTTCCCTCTTCATGGTAAATGCTTCCTTCTTGAAACATGGTCACCTTATCAGCTGACAGCATTCGAACCGCTCGATACCGCTCTATTTGTGTTTCAGTAAGCGAATTAGCTGGGCGAAAGTTGGTCGTCGGCATCGCTCTGCTGGGCGAAATTTGCCGTTCGCCGGGTATTGTGTTTCAAGCATAACTCGGAAATGACAGCAAAAATGAAAGAGCAACACTCGGCGAAAGTGACTCTCCTCAGTCCGAAGTAGTCAGATTTAGTCAGAAGAATTTTTTCTGGCAATATCCTGAAAAGTGTCAAACTGAACTGAATTTAAATTAACGGAAATTAAAGAATACGCAAAAAGTGAGAATAATCTAAAAAGTAAAAAAAGTGAATTGAAATTGGAAGGAGGCAAAAAATAATTGATATAGTAAGTGTTTATTGTGCTAGTGCTTGTGTGAGTGTGTTTTGTACATACATTTCCATTCTTATTTGACGTTAGCTTTGTTGTTGCAATTCTTTGGACTAAAAATTTGGTTTTTTGCGTTCCTTTACTTTTCCTGTTATTCTCTTTTAGTGAGCGCATTTTGCTTACGCTCTGGCATTTTGACACTTTTCAGGTTTTAATCCAAAAAGATAAGGAATGAACCTAGTGTTTCCCAAAAATGGTCAGCCAAACGAAATATTCGCAGCGTACACACATGTCGTCGCCTGGGAAAAGATTGTCGTAAGCGTCATACGTCGACCGCTGTGGTGTAGTGGTAAGCAGTACGCGCTTTCACTTACCAGCACCTGGGTTCAAGCCCTGGTCAAAGCAACATCGCAAAAATTTAGGAAAAGGTTTTTCTTAACAGCGGTCGTCCCTCGGCAGGCAATGGCAAACCACCGAGTGTATTTCTGCCATGAAAAACAGCTTCTCATAAAAATACAATCGCCGTTCGGAGTCGGCGTAAAACTGAGGGTCCCCCGCTTTGTGTGACAATATCAAGGCGCACGCCGCAAGTTTGAGGAGAAGCTTGGCCAAACACTAACATATGTGTAAGCGCCAATCTTTTATTATTATTCTCATACTAGTTCAAAACAGACAGAAAAATACTAGTTCAATTATGGACCAAAACCTATACTTTGGGAGTCAAAAAATAAAATGTATTCATGAATATACAATAAAAAACTTTTCATTAAGTACACTTTGCCTTAGATTTGCCAATAATTAGTGTTAAAATAAAAGCAAAAATAAATACATAAATATTTCAAACTTTCGAACATAAATTTTGATGCATTTTTCATTAAATGTTGTTAAAAGAAAAAGCTTTCAGGTACAATAAATACATGTTTTTCAACTTTTTTAATAATATTAAAAAATGCAAAAAAATACGTTTCAGTTAAAAATAAAATAAATACTTTAGTTCGAACTATCATCACGAATGATCATTTTCGACTAAACTTAAATAAAAATAAAAGTTTTCATTAAATTAAATTAAATTCATTAGCTTTGTACATTTCAGTCTTTTGTTTTATAGACTTTATAAAAGTAATAATTAACGCATAAAATTTGAGATTTGGATAAGAAGAAAATAAATAAATAATTCATGCAGTTATTAAATATTCTTATTTTTTGTGTATAGTTTTGCTTGTTGATTGATAATTGAAATTAATCAAATGATTATATTAATAGTGTAATTAAAAAAGCCCAAAATAATTGCAAATGATCAAAAATAACAAAATAATGATATAATTAAAATTAACGAATTAATAAAAAAAATTTTATTTATGTAATTAATGATTAATCATTAAAAATGTGCTAATATCGGTATTTAGGGCAGGTTGTTCAATGTCTGATTAGCACAAATCGGAGGTAGAAGCTCCGGTTAGATACAACGACTGCTTTATCGATCACTTGTTATATGCATGCTGTCGAAATCGTTGATAATGATGTTTAACCGGGAAGTAGTGATAACCAGACATTGAACAACCGGCCCTTAATCATTAAACGGTTATCCAAAAAAACATGCTTTAATTAATAGTCATTATGAATATTAATCATTATTTAACATGTATGGTATAATTGCGAGTACATACTCGCTTTAACGGTTTACAATATACACAAATAAAATTTGTAATAGGGTGCATTCCAAAACGTCAAAATACAAAGCATCAGTCTCTTTTATTACCGAACCGCACTAGAAGAAAAAGGCTAACTGGCGCAACCTAGGTGAAATCTAGCATCTAACTGTGGTTGCGTACATTTGGCATTACAAGCTGCTGAGTTTTAGAAATAAAAGAGACTGATGCTTTGTGTACTCTATTGTACTATTAAACTGTCGAAGCCAAATAAAACAGGGCATGAATAAATCGTATTGTACTTGGTAAAAGTCTGGTCATTTTCGAACTAGTTCGGTTTCAGTCAGGAAATTCTAGTTGTAAACTAGTATTTTTCTTGACTAGTTTGGGGTTTCACTGCAGGGATATAAGGCACATCCGATCTTTTTATTCTTCATCTTTCCTTGATGAGTTTGGCGTAGAGCTGTCAAACTATCGACGATACTATCGATAGTATCGATAGTCTGGTCACAGGAAATAACTATCGATAGTTCTGGTACTATCGCCACTATCGTTTCATTAATAGCGTATTCTCTTTCCCTGCACTTTTGACATTTGCACGTATTGGTTCAAAGAGAACAAAACTTGGCAGCATTATTTCATGAACGTACGAATAATAGGCCCGTCAGAATGGGTACTTGTACGTCAATAACGGAAAAGTATGCGAAGGAAGTGGCGTACGTAACGTAGAGATACGCCACAATGAGGGTGTTGCGTCTGCAA